ATTAAAATATAGGCTGTAATATATGAGTATTAAGTCAAACACTCTCTGCAATACAGAACTACGACACTGGCAAACAGCAAACTGGCCGTTTCTATGGTAACACTAGTAAACAAGAACCACTGCGCATCGTCGAGTTATGTGTCATATTCCCAAACTTAACTTTGTCGGAGTCTATATATGTCAGGTTTAAAGCGCTCATATCGGCCAAATTTTCCGTCACTAAGATTTTTATAAGTTATAATAATTATACATACCTGCATACCTATAAGTGTTCAAAACGCAATGATAGTATTTGCTGCATCGCAAACTGACATAGATATAGTAAAAGTGGTTGCATTTTTTATCAATTTCCTTGCCAAAATCATAAAAAGTATCAATCTGAACTGTTGACTGCCTACTAATTTACATAGAAAGAAACATTTATGTAATGATTACTATAAACTAAATTACGCCTATTGTTATATTTTATTAACTAGTTTTATAAAACGTTTCTATAAAACAATAATACTAGTAACCTGTTACAATAACATATAAATAAAATTTATATATTTACAACAATAAATCTGTATTTACCATTGCACAAAAACAGAGGTTAGATTTAGAATTTCAAAAAATCATTATTGAAATAATTACTTAAACTCGTTTTTAGCACAGATAACTCTGTTAATATATAAATTGGTATAATAAATATAAAATATATAAATTATTTGGTATTATATTACTGTTTAAAAACTATAAATAATAAACTAGTAAACTATTATTTTATAATAGATGTATAAATTCAATTCATGTTTTTGTAAAAATATCCAAATTTTGAACTGTAACAAATCAATTTGTTGGGAACATTTGTCAGTGCATAGGATTAAAAATGCCAATACCTAAACAACCATGTAGGAGGGACAAAGAGCTCTGAAGACTGGAGAACTATAAAAACGATGAGAATAACGATAAAAGACCAAGTCATAATAAATAGAATATCAGAGAACACATGAGTAGAGCACTTTTAATACTTATTAACAGAAAGAAGAGAAAGGTTTAAACAGACAAATAAACAAGTGGAAGTAGAAGGAAGAATACAAATATTAAAAGAACAAGTGAAAGAAGTAGTTAAGGGAATGAAATTAGGAAAATATCCATGCCCAGGCGGAATACATCCAGAGTTGATTAAGTATGATCATCAAAACTATTTGAAATGATCCGAAAATTATTCGAAAGATGTTTAAACGGAAAAGGAGTTCTAGAAGAATGGAGAGAATCGCATATCTCCCCAATACACAAGAAAAACACAAAGACAGATCCTAAAAATTTTAGACGGATCGCAGTTATTGCTACTATAATAGGCCGACTACACTCAAAAGTACTACGAAACCTGATAGAAAATGATATTAAAAACAAACAACCCGAAGAACAAGCGAGATTTAGGGCCGGACGCTCCACTATGGATAATATTGTCACATTGAAAATTGCAATGAAAAAACGAGTGTACTGAAATAGAGAAACCCATATAGCTTTAATAGATTTGAAAAAAGCACATGACAGTGTAACGATCTCTCAACTATGGATAAAAATGGGTAACTTAAAAATAAACCCAATTCTTATTAACGCCATTCAAAAATACTATGAACAAAACTTTACAAGAATTAAAATGAGACAAGAAATCACCTCTCCTTTACAAACAACAAAGGGGCTAAGACAAGGCTGCTGTCTGTCACCCACCTTATTTAAAATCTATTTGGACAGATCCTTAGTAAAATGGGTAAAAAAATGTAGAAACATGGAAATAACAATGGAAGAAAACACGCTATATATACTTTTCTTTGCGGATGACCAGGTAGTAGTTGCCGAAGACAACTACGATCTTAGCTATATGATAAGAAAACTGTAACAAGAATATAAGGTGGCAGATCTAAACATGAATATGACAAAGTGGGAATATCTCTCAGTGGAAAAAGATGAAATACGTGACCTAGTCTTGAAAGACAACAAACTCAAAGGTATTCAATCCTGCAAATATTTAGAGGTCATTTTTTATAAGAAGGGAAATACCTAGCTCAGATAAAATCAGGGAAAGAATAAACTAGGGCAGAGCAGCGACCCGTACCTTAAACTCTCTTCTCTGGCAAAAAACAATTCGACGAGAAACCAAAAAACACATTTACGGTAGTATAGTCCAAAGTATTACACTTTACGGTTCGGAAGTATGAGAGAGAAAGAGAGACAGAAAGAGAGAGAGAGAGAGAGAGAGTTAGAAACGAACAAATAAGAAACGAAATGAAAATGGAGCGTAATATCAATGATGACATAGAAAGAAAACAGTTAATCTGATTCGGACATGTTAAAAAAATGCCAGAGTACAGATGGCTTAGAAGAGTACTGGAATGGATACCTCCTAAAAGAAGAAAGAGAGGATGACCACGAAGAAGTTGGAGCAACGATATTGATGAAGCAATGGCGGCAAGAGTCTTAGAAGAGTCAAGCATATGACAGAAAAAGATAGAAATTGGTGACGGAGAAACGGCGACAGCCGTAATCAATTCGTTATTATATACAACAAATCAATTTGTTAGACTTAAATATTGCTATAACGTTAATAATTATACCACATCAAAATAATCTTTGAGACACCTTTAATAATCGCTGTAAACCAATGTTAGCTGTAAATACAACAATAAATCTAAGTTTTTTATATTTTTTGTTGTTTCCTTAATTATTGTACCAACTTATACGGTAATACTGATAAGAATAGCTATAAAAAATTTAACAAAACTTCAATATTCGTTTTTGTCTATAAAAAGTAATATTTGTTTATTGGTATTTGATTTTCGATGTCTATGTGGATTTTTATGTAGTTTTGCAATTACCAATAATAAAGAGTTATCCAAGAAACTGGATAACTAGTGCCAAGAAACTGGCGATATCGCTGAACTACCGCAAGATAATGATAATTGAGTATGGCCTACCCATTTACCAGTTTTAAATCAAAGTAAGCATGTATAGAACATATTGGGCAGACTAATTTTACAAAAAATATTAAGTTAGATACAAGACATCAACTTTTTAAGAGGCTTTTAATGAAGTGTAACAGAATACTGCAGCAATACATTGACCATCTTATCATGAGTTTGCTTACAGATACATATAGGGGAGTAATCAACAACCGTGGAAGTCACAAACTCAACCTAAAGACTACTTTTTTAGGAGTTAAGGGGCAACAAATTAGTTTTTTATTTTTATTTTGTTGTCATTTTTTGACTTAGGCAGTTTTCTTTTAATTTTCTTAAAAGGTATTACGATAGTTTTACGAAAATATGTTTATTTTATATTCGGGACACTAGTAAATAACTTTTTATTAAGTACAAATATTTGAAATAAAGTATTTGAAATCCATGTGTAATTTCGGATTTTGTTATTGTCCCCTAGATTAATTTTTTGTATGTATTGTTATGCTATGCAAAATCGAAAATAATATTGGTTTGCTTAATATATTTCAAAGTACAAAATATAACAATTTAAATAATTCGACTTATCAACTATAAAAGATATTTCGAAGAAATTAAAGTACATTATCCTGGATTACCTGTAGTAAACAAAATTTTAAAGATATGCATAAATTATTTTCTTTGTAAAATATATTCAAGTGAGCTTAGTGAAACCATGAACAATGCGAGCGAGTTTTCCAAATGGACTTGTACAGTGATTAAGACAATACAATAGAATGTTTAGAGAATATATTTCTCCGTCAGTTCTTAAGAATTTGTAGAAACCGATTAGCATATTAATAGTTTTTAGGACATTTATAATTGTAGGTAAAAATTGTTGTTTGTTATCTGAATGAAGAGATGGGGATACGTATGACGAGCTTTGATTGGAGGAGATTGAAAAAAGTGGGATGGTTTGTAATAATGTGAAGGTTCTCTGGTGGTTCCCGAGAGGTAGCAAGCAGTAGAAGTGAATGTTAGTGAGTTTTTTCGTAGAGTTAGTGTATCTGACAGAAGCTGATCCACTAAAATATTGTACGTTATATTTTTCTACTTATATTCCAAGAGTCACTGTTCAGTCCAGAACGAGAGATTCAGTTTATCGAGAGGAGAAGGGGCTAGCATCATTTGAACGATACGTGCATTTGAAGGAGATCATTAAAGACGATAGGCTCGTAACAATTTGTTGTAAGATTGTTGATTACCTAGGGGACTGCTAAAAATAGATAGTGTAGGTTACAAGGAACAAGGATTTGGGCAACTCATCATAAGAGAGATAGTTTTACTATTCGTTAGTTTTTTTATGAACAACACATATGTTTAACAATTGCTTTAGAAAAGATAGGAATATTGTGATTAGGAGATTTAGAACAACAATTTTGATTTGAAATCTTAATTTATATTGCATGTACCATTAATTTTTGAAGGTTCACGTACGTAGAACTAAATTTTGATAATCATTATATGAGATATTTTTATTAAAGATATTTGAGTGTGAATTTTATTTCAATATATTTTTATTTCAATATATAATGTTGTATCATATATGTTTTTTATTATTCCGGTATTCTTTGGACCATAACTATCATATTATTATGTAAAGCATAGATATTGAAGCACGAGTATAACAATGAGATAAGAGAATTAAATAGTGTGATAGAATCATAATTGCATCATTTAAATAAGTTTAATTGATTAATTAATTAGCTAATTCATTGCTTGGCGCAACTCAGACTTTTACATTAGTATATATAAATAATCAATTAATATACAGACAATATTTATGTTATTACTACAAACAATGTTATTACTACAAACTTATAAATATTTTCAATGGTTTAGAACTTATGGTGATGATGAAATAACCCATAGAGGGTACCTCTATAGGTTATTATATCATCACCTGTTTAGCTGCACTTAGCGAATAGACGTGATCATATTTTCCAATGTTTTTAATCAATTTAATATACTAGTAAGGATCCTATGAAATTATACAATACAAAGATGCCTCTTTTTTTGTAGGTGCTCACCTGTTGAATACCCTGGGCTGCTATGTGAAACTACTTGTGACAATTTTAGAGATAATACTATTGGAGATGATATAAAATGCGCACTGAAAATGTACAAGGAGAGCGAAACTGTTACCGGAATTGGATACGCTGCTTGGGATTCATACTGGCCACATTGTGCAACTGGAGATAATATGGAATACATTCGAAATTGTTATTAAAGATGAACATAAAATACTATCAATTTTATATATCAATAAAATACCTAAACAAGTATACCAATTTTAATTTTAATGCATCCTTTACATTTTTAAACTTAGGCTATGATTTCAATCTTATCAATGTTGTATACGGATTCATTTTTAAAGTATGTCATGTACCAGCTTGGGACTGCTTATGAGCTAAAATCTAACCAAATATTGTTTAGATATATAATGAGTTTTTTCACTATGGAGGCAAGCTTTTCTATCAGTCGTACTGCAGGCAGTTAAATTTTTGTACATATTCCAATAACTATTATACAAATCTTCGAAACTTCGGTAAACGATGGATTTATTATTTGACCTAATAGAAGTTAAAAGAGATCAATAAGCTGCCTTTAAATCTTGTAGATTTGCTGTAGTGTAGTGATTTGGATTATTGAGACGTATCAGAGACACAGTATTAGACACAGAGTTAGTCACCTAGTCACATCTCTACTTGCTTCCTATATAATTTTTATTAGTAGACTTAAAACAGTCAACTGTTCATGAGTCCCATTTTGTTTTGTAAGCATTTTCTTTCTACAAGTCAAAAAGAAGACACAGTATGCGCCCGTACTATATCCGCCATCGCTCTGGGGCATCGCTTAGGAAACACTTTTTTCTTTTTGATATGTATTCTATGGACACGAATGTTAAACCTAAAAATTGGGGACAGCAATAGTATCAGTATCAGCAAAGGAATCTCATAAAAAAGAACATCAAAACAGAACATACAACAGGATTGAAATGTGGTACAAACAATAAACACATTACAGAATAGAACAGAAATTTAGAAATCTTTTTCATGTAAAAGGTAATTATAAAAGTCTTCCTGCAATTGTTGATGATGAGCAGTGAATTTCTAGTTAACTGTGCAAGAATACCAACAACAGTCCAGTGAAAAAATGCAGCGGAAAACGCACTAACCAAATATACGGTTTTAAAATATTTGAACTCGTTTAAAGTTAATTTAGTTTATGAGCTCAACAAGGACGATTATAATCTAAGGACGGAATTTTGCGAAATGATAATGGAGATATGTAATAATTAGCCACAATTTGTAAAACATATTGGCAACACTATTTTGGGGCCACTTTTCATTGAAGGAATATTCACTGCGGAAAAATTTAGAAATGCTTTAAAACGGTAATATTTTTGCAATCGCCGCGCCACATAAAGATAACCAAAATCCAAATATGCCTAGTAATTTAATATGGTTTCAACAGAATGTCGCACCACCTCATTATGCGATGATAGTGCATGATTATTTAAATGCTGTTTTTCCCAACAGATGCATAGGTAGGCGGCGAGCAAGTTTAAAGTGGCCAGCAAGATCTCCTGATTTAGCCTGCCATAATTTTTGCTTTTGTGATTATCTTAAATCTAAAGTCAACATATAGACCAGGGAATATTAAAGAATTAAAAGATACAATTTGAAACGAGGTTACACTCATTCTTTAAGAAACAATAAATAGAGTTTTAGAAGAATTTTATTATCGCCTTGGTTATTGTCAGGAAGTAAACGGTATGCAGTTTCAACATTTAGTTTAATTGTAAGAAGTCTTGTGTTTCCCAGAATAAAACACATATAATAAACATTGTAATAAAATTGTAATAAACATTTCTCTCTAATCTACGAACTGATGATTTTAGAGTTTAGACTATAAGTAATGATGGAGGCGCATAATATCCGGAAAAAGTTAATGTTTGGGCAGGAATTGTTGGCACAATATTTTGGGGCCATTTTTTATTGAAGGAACGTTGACTGCAGAAAAATATTTAAACATGCTTTAAAACGATATTATTTTTGCAATCGCCGCGCTATATCCAGATAACAAAAATCCAAATATACCTAGTAATTTAATATGGTTTTAACAGGATGGTGCACGACCCCATTATGCGATGACATAACGTGATTAGTTATGTTTATACTATTTTTTACAAAAAGTGGCGAGGAAGTTTAGAGTGGCCTGCAAGATCTCCTGATTTAGCCAACCTTGATTTTTTACTTTTGGAGTTATCTTAAATCTAAAGTATACATAAATAGAACAGAGTATATTGAATAATTAAAATATATAATTTAAAATAAGGTTATATTCATTCTCCCAGAAACATTAAATAGAGTTTCAAAATAATTTAATCCAAGCGTAGTTATTGTCGGGAAGAAAACGGCGTGCAGATGTACTGTGTTACTCAAAATAAAAAAAAGTAATAAACATTGTATAAAAATTGTAATAAAATTGTAATAAACATTTCTCTCTAAGTCACTAACTGGCGATTTTAGACTGTAGTGTGATATAAGTGTCTTATATTTTTACTGTAGTGTAATATAAGTGTCTAAGTGTAATATTAACACAGTAAAGAAATATTTTCTTTAGAGAAAACTTTTCACGGATTTTTTATTTTTTCAATTTTTATAGTAATGAACTAATTAAAAAACAAATGCGCTTTAACCTCGGCGAGATCCTATAAAACTGTCAATTTTGTTTAGGTCAGCAATCATCCCTGAGGAAACGAACTTTTATAATTTAATTTTTCAAACCGACTTTCATCAGCAGTTTATCGGGAGGACGACAAATTAACTCGAGATGAATAGGGACAATTACAAGACTTTTAAAAGGGAAATTCCCGCTTTAATCTTCTTTTTATTGCGTTTGAGTCTCTATGGATAATAGACCAAACTTTCAGCCGCCAGGAATGAGATTAATTATATCACCTCTCTCGACAGTTATAGCAGTTTCAGTTGGGATATTTATTTTAATGATAGATAAAAGTGATTGGTGCAGTTGGTTATTCTATAAAGTTATATAAACCTAATTTAAATTAATGCATTTAAACTAAAAGATACAAAAATAAACGAAGCTGTTAGGAATGCTGCAAGCGGCATATATTGTGTTAATTTAGTGAGTTTATTATAACTAGAATATTTCTGATACAACTGAATTTGCGGGTTCAGATTTGAATGGAAGCGGTACTTGGCCAATATTTCTAGTATTTTATTTTTAGCTTCTAGTTGTGGATCTTCCGATGAGACTCAATAGAAAAGAATGGACCAAAAAAGAAAAGCTAAATATGACTCGGACAGATATAAAGAGACAAATATAAAATGTAACAATAAAAAGGAAAATCACAAAAGCAAAAAAGCAATGGTAAGATGCAAAGAAATTAAGACCCTACAGTTAAAACACACTAGCTCTTTTCTCAGTTAAAGAGAAGCTACAGAGTATTTAGAAGCTACAGAGAAGTCAATTGCGATGTACATTGCATGGCTGGTTAATTAAAAGAAAGCGTTTTATTAAGTACAACAACTCAAGATAATGAAAATGGAAAACCTCTACTGGAATAATGTATGGAGTGAGGTAAAGCTGTATTTTCTCTTCTATGGATCAATGTCTACTCCAAAAAAATAATTATAGCGAATCATTGCACGAATTTAAAAAAGCATTCTACTAAACGGTACTCGCCAAACAACATAAGATATGCGGATAACAAAATAGTATTTGCGAACAACCTAGAAGACCTACAAGTCCTTTTGAACAAATCACGTACGACAGTCAACAATATGGATTCAATATTAGCGCTAAAAAGACAAAGCTTATATCAAATAGCAAGGAAACAATAACCTTAGGTCAACTTTACGGTAACCAAACCCCAGTAGAAAAAGTGAAGTGGTACAACTACCTCAGAATCACAATAAATAAAGAATCACCAACAACCAGGAGATAAAAGCCTGTATCAGAAAAGCAAGAGCCACGTTCAATCTAATTGTGACTTTTTTAAAAGCCACAGTCTATCTCTTGGTATAAAATTAAGAATGCTCTAATGATTTCCTCTATTTTAATAATGGTGTTGAATTGTAGATTTAAAGCAAAGATTATAAGATGTGACTGTATTAGAGAATATTCAAAATCCCTTCGACTGACCGAATTACAAATGAAGGGCCTCAGAAGAAGGAAGAAAAAACGAGAAATACTGAATACCATCAAATCTCGAAAACTAATGTATTCCAGACACATTATGTGAAATAAATCCAGATATGCCCTTTTACAAGCCATCCTGCAGTAAATGTTTAACAGGTGAGGTCGGGAAAGAAGAGCAACATGCAACATGTAAGCACTGTTGATCCATATTGGCTCGCTAGAGAATAAATAAGAGCTAAGCCTGCAGACATGAGTGTGAATGCCGATGCTCTTTATGTTGTGCCACAGAGCTTCTGAATGATGTGATTTCTAGTTATTTGCTTCTCGGCATATGTAATTAAATGTTATCTAAAGCTTAACGTTCTGTCCAAGGCACGATTAGATATTTTGGATGTTTATTGTGATCGAGTCGTGTGTTATCAAAGTGAACGTTAAAGGTTCATGACGCCAGATTGTTGTTTAGGTGGAAGCAGGATACTTCGGTCTTGGAGGCATTGGGGCAAAGTCTTCATTTTTAAAAGTAAATTCTAATAACCTCTAGGTCTTCAGTAAGAATCTCTTTAGCTTCTTCTAGTGACTTTATTTGGGTTTATAAAGCCCAGTAATCAGCATAGCCAAACTTTAGTGATGTTGTTGTCGGCATGTCTGTAATGTAAAGGCTAAAAATCAGTGGTTCTAGTACCGAGCCTTCTGGCAGACCATTTTTGAGTTTTATGTGGGTGTTGACTTTGGATCCTATAGTTACTTAAAATACTCTGTCGGTGAACATATTTTCTAACAATCTAGCAGTAAATTTACAAGGAATAGTGCATAAAAGTTTATAAATCATTACTTCTCACCAGACGGTGTCGAAAGCTGCTGGCAAATCTATGAATATAGCAGAACTATTTAGTTGTCTTTGAAAGCTGGCTTCTGTGTAAGTACAAAGAGATAACAGCTGATCTGTGAAACCTCGATTTGGTCTAAAACGTGCTTGCTCAATTGGTATATCTTTAAGGATTGTTGGGATTATTCTGTTAAAAAATAGTCTTTCGAGTAATTTATACATTATACACAGTAGAGCAATTGGTCGATAGCTTTTTTGGTGGTAGCTGGTTTACCCGGTTTTAGTT